GGTTCGATCGCTTTTTTTACGTTCCTGGCAAAGCAGGTTGTCACGTCTGCAAAAGTCCCCTCTGCAGTTGCTCAGAACCAGGTTTTTGCGCCTTCTGCTTTAGCTGCTCTTCTGCAGCTGGGCCAAGTCCCTTGGCAATGGCTACGACTGGCAAAAACATGAGAAGAGCTGGGTTAGGTTTCCGGAGGCCAGGGTGAGGAGAGTAAGGAGGGTGCTGGCTCTCCAGCTGGGGTGCGTGGAGGTGTGTTTGCTGTCCCCAGCACAGACCGTTGCAGCGCAGAGTGTCATGGATGTGGGTAGGACGCCGGGCTGGATCGGGTGAGGGACACATCTGCAAGGGCCCTTGGGCAAGATCATAGTCGCGATCTAGGAAGAAAGGGGCCGGGTCTACCTGGGCTCTTGACATGGCCCATGGATTCCTTATGCCCAGCGCCTCCTCGTTCATCCTCTATTGTCGGATAGGGATCCAGCCTCCCACCCCCCGACTTCCCCTCCTGTGCACCCGGGGAAGAGCTGAGAAACGAGTGGGGCTGTAGCCCAGGGTCTGGACCTCAACTTCTGGTGCGATGCACGTCTGCTGCTCTCGGAGCAGTCAGCAATGTGCACGGTGGATTTTGACACCCGGGGGACAGCTGGGGTTCGCCATGGAGCAGGCTTCAGGGATGTAACGTCTCCTGAGAGGACATCATTCCAGGAGGAGTCGCAGACTGGCTTTGGCCTGGGATGTGCAGTGCCCCTCGCTGATGCTGCCTGAGAGCAAACAGCAGGATGTGGAGGCCAGCAGGAGAGTGACGGGGTTTGGTCATTACCACAGAGGTGCCCGTGCCCCCACACCCCCACCCCACCCCGGCCAGGGATCGGGGCCACACTGTGCTGAGGAAGGGACTGTTCCTAGTCACCTTCTTCTCCTCCGAGTGCTTAGAAATGGGTTCCTTGAGGACCTGCTTTGTGATCTTTCCAGGGACTGAGGTGAGGTTGATGGGTCCGTAGTTCCCTGGATCCTCCTTCCTCCTTTTCCTAAATACGGGCACTATGTTGGCCCTTTTTCAATCGCCCAGGACCTCTTCTGATCACCACAAGTTTTCAAAGATGGCCCGTGGCTCTGCAATCGCATCAGCCAACTCCCTCAGCACGCTCAAGTGCATCCCATCCTGCCCCATGGACTTGTACACGTCCAGCTTTCCTAAGTAGTCCCTAACCTGAACTTTCAGCACTGAGGGCTGCTCACCTCTTCCCCAAACTGTGCTGCCTGGTGCAGTAGTCTGGGAGCTGCCCTTGCCTGTGAAGATGGAAGCAAAAAAGGCCTTTTCTGCATCCTCTGTCACTAGGTTGTCTCCCCCATTCAGTAAGGGACCCACAGTTTCCCTGATCCTCTTCTTGCAACCAACATACCTGTAGAAACCCTTCTTATCCTTCACGTCCCTTGCTAACTGCAACTCCAATTGCACTTTGGCCCTTCTGAGTTTATCCCTGCATGTCCAAGCAATGCTCTTATAATCTTTCCTAGTATTTGTTCAAGTTTCCACTTCTTATAAGCTTCCTTTGATGACTTAGTTTACTGAAGAGTTCTCTGCTAAGCCAAGCTGGTCTTCTGCCATACTTGCTAGTCTTCCTGTGCATCGGGAAGGTTTGTTCCTGCACTCGCAGGAAGGCTTCTTTGAAGTACAGCCAGCTCTCCTGGACTCCTCTCCCCCTCAGACTGGCTTTCCAGGGGCTCCTGCCTGTGAGTTCCCTGAGCAAGTCGAAATCTGCTTTTCTGAAGTCCAGGGTCCTCTGAAGAAGGTGATTAGGAGCAGTCAGCATGGATTCACCAAGGGCAAGTCATGCCTGAGCAACCTGATTGCTTTCTATGAGGAGGTGACTGGCTCTGTAGATGCGGGAAGACCCATGGATGTGGTGTATCTGGACTTTAGCAAGGCTCTTGATATGGTCTCTCAACATTGTCGCAGGCAAGCAAAGGAAGTGCGGGTTGGATGAATGGGCTGTAAGGTGGATAGAAAACTGGCTGAAGCATCGGGATCAGAGGGTATTGATCAATGGCTTGATGTCTACTTGGTAGCCAGTATCAAGTGGAGTGTCCCAGGGGTTGGTTCTGGGGCTGGTTTTGTTCAATGTCTTCATCAACAACCTGGAAGAAGGGATGCAGCGCACCCTCAGCAAGTTTGCAGATGACACCAAGCTGAGGGGAAGCAATAGATACACTGAAGGGTAGGGCTAGGATTCAGAGCAACCTGGACAAATTGGAGGATTGGGGTAAAAGAAAAATCACGAGGTTCAACAAGGACAAGTGCAAAGTCCTGCCCTTAGGAGGGAACAATCCCCTGCACCGGTGCAGGCTGGGGGTGACGGGCTGGGCAGCAGCTCTGCAGAAAAGGGCCTGGGGGGACAGGAGATGAGAAGCTGACCAGGAGCCAGCAGTGTGCCCTTGGTGCCGTGAAAGCTAACAGCATCCTGGGCTGCATTGGTAGGAGCACTGCCAGCAGATCGAGGGCAGTGATTCTTCCCCTCTATTCAGCACTGGGGAGGCCACATCTGGAGTCCTGTGTCCAGCTGTGGGCTCCCCACTACAGAAAGGATGTGGACACATTGCAGAGAGTGCAGCAGAGGAAAACAAAAATGGTTGTGGGGCTGGGGGACATGGTGTATGAAGAGAGGCTGAGAGAACTGGACTTACTTGTCTAGAGAAGAGGAAACTGAGAGGAGATTTAATAGCAGCCTTCAACTATCTGAAGTGGGGCTGCAAAGAGGCTGGAGCTGGACTGTTCTCAGTGGTGGCAGACGACAGGACAAGGAGCAATGGGCTCAAGTTTCAGCAAGGGAAGTTGAGGTTGGATATTAGGAAAAACTCTCTCCCTAAGATAGTAATAAAATACTGGAACAGGCCTCTCAGAGAGGTGGTGGACTCTCCATCCTTTGAGGTTTTGAAGACCCGGCTAAACAAAGCCTTGGCTGGGATGATGGAGTTGGGGCTGGTCCTCCTTGGAGCAGGGTTGGACTAGATGTGACCTTATCAGATCCCTTCCAGCCTTATTATCTATGATGCTAGGTGATACATAAGAGTCCCTTCCCCTGGGTGCTCACATTTGAGGACAAAGTCATTTTATTCTAAAGAAAAGGGTTTTCTTAAACAGGTGACTACAATGGAAAATGTCTTTTACAAGCTTGAGGATGAGTCATTAATGTCCAGGTGGAGCAAGAGGCTGCTCATGGCTGTTGGGTCAGCCCAGGGACTCACAAGCTCTGTGGAGAAACACAGTCTTTCTTCTGGTGCCCCAGAGCCCTCCTCAGGGCGCCCCTCACGTCCTGGTTGCGGAGGCTGTAGATGAGGGGGTTGAGCATGGGGGTGACGATGGAGTAGAGAGTGGAGATCAGCGTGTCCACCTCCAGGGAGTAGCCAGCACTGGGCCGGTTGTAGTTCAGGATGGCCATCCCAAAGTAGATGATGACCACGACCAGGTGGGAGGTGCAGGTGGAGAAGGCTTTGCGTCTGCCCGTGTTGGAGTGGATGCGGAGGATGGCCAGCAGGATGTAGACGTAGGAAATGAGGACGAGCAGAAACGGGATTAAGCCCACAAAGATACTAGCCAAATGCAGCATGATCTCATTGACGTAGGTGTCGCTGCAGGCGATCTTCAGCAGGGGAGGGACGTCGCAGAAGATGTGGTGGATCTGGTTGGCTCCACAGAAGGAGACGTCGGTGGCCAGGAAGGTGTGGATGGCCGAGTCCAGGATGCCCCAGAGCCAGCAGGCCGTGGCCAGTGGGACACGCACCTTCTTACTCATTATGCGAGTGTAGTGCAGGGGTTTGCAGATGGCCACGTACCGGTCAAAGGCCATGACGGTCAGCAGTGCACACTCTGTCCCCGCGCAGATCATGAGGAAGAACATCTGTGCCATGCACTCCCGGTAGGAGATGGTCTCTTGCTGGCGTACAAAGTTGACGAGGATCTTGGGCAGCGTGACAGAGGAGTAGCACATGTCCAGGAAGGAGAGGTGGCCGAGGAAGAAGTACATGGGGCTGTGCAGCTGGGGATCCAGCACGATGAGGGTGAGGATCAGGCAGTTCCCCAGCAGGGTGATGAGGTAGATGGCGAGGAAGGCCAGGAAGAGGAAGGCCTGGCCCTGCAGGACGCGGGAGAAGCCCAGGAAGACGAACTCTGTCACCTGCGTCTGGTTCGCCCCGTCCATGGGGCCGGTGGCAGCTACCTGCGGGGAGAGAGAGCAGCCGTGAGCGGAGGCAGAGCGTGGGGACAGGGATCCGGAGCAAGACCAGCCCCTTCCCCAGCGCGGCTGGGTCGTGTCACGCCGATGGGCAGGGCACTTATTTATTCATTTGCTCTACATGCCCTCCACAACCAAGGCTCCAGGAAGTGTGAGAGAATGGAGCTACATGAGAGACAATGGGATACTTGCAAAACAGGAGAGCAGCCAGTGACCAGAAGGGCTTGAAAGGGAAGCAGGAGATCAAAGAGGACGGAGATGCCCTCAGCAACATCTGGGCACTGCTGTGTTTGCTACCTGCTGCCCACACAGGCCGGAGCACATTGCTGCTGGCCCATGCCCAGGCTCCAGCTCTGGCAGCCTCCAGAGAAGAAGTCGCAGAGCTGAGGTGTGGCTGCCCTGAATGACGTCCCGTGCAATTCGGGGACTCAGCCTTGTCGTGCTCGTGGTGCTGCCAGAGTTTGCTCTCGGCTGACCTGGAGGACAGGGATGGGGCGGAGGGGAGCAGGCAGTCCCCTATGTCTGTGGGCCAGGACTGCTGTGGGTCTCGGGTCAACCCAGCACCTGGAGTTGCACCAAAAGTCCCTGGGAGCCAGCCCAGGATCCAGCCCCCGGCACTTAGGCAGGAAGGACATGGGCTCAGGTGACCCCAGCGAGGTGACCCTCCAGTCTCGTCTTGAAGGTTTCCAGGGTAGGTGACTGCACCACCTCTGAGGGGAGTTTATTTCACAGTCTGGACACCCTGATTTTGAAGAATTTTTTTCCTAGTGTTAAGCCTGAAACCGTCTTCCAGGAGTTTGTGGCCATTACTCCTGGTTTTCCCTTCGGGTGCCCTGGTGAACAGTTGCTCACCAAGCCCTTGATGTACTCCCCTGATGTTGCGGTAAGATGCTACCAGGTCCCCTCTCAGCCTTCTCCTTTTTAGGCTAAAGAGACCCAAGTCCCTCTGCCTTTCCTTGGATGGCTTGCTTTGCTAGTCTCTGATCATACGGGTGGCTCTTCTCTGGACTCTCTCAAGCTTTTCCACGTCCTTGCTGAAGTGCGGCGCCCAGAACTGGACACAGTCCTCCAGCTGCGGTCTCATCATTGTTAAAGATGTTGAAAAGCACTGGACCAAGCACCAACCCCTGAGGGACACCACTGGCCATTTCCCGCCAGGACGACACAGATCCGTTCATTAGATCTCTGTGGGTCCTGCCCCGTAGCCAGTTTCCTACCCACCTGACTGTCAAGCAGTTCAGCCCTCTTCTAGTCTCCAGGGACCTCCCCAAGCTCCACAAGTTTTGGAAGAGTTTTGCCAGAGGCCCCGCAATGACTTCATCCAGCTCCTTCAGCCCTCTCAGTTAACGTTCATCCAGTCCTGCTGACTTATAAACGTCTAGCTTTTCTAACTGATCGTGCACCAGCTCAATGTCAACAGTAGGAAGGCAGTCATTCCCACCATGCCTGTTCTGTACCCTATCTAGCATGAATTTCCCCTTAGTCTGGTGAAAGACCGAAGCAAAGTAGTCATTCAGGGGTTCAGCTTTCTCCCGAGTGTCAGTAACCAACTCTCCTGAGTTGCTGAGCAGTGGCCCCACACTCTCATTTGTTTTCCTCTTCTTCCCTACATACCTAAAGAAAGACTTCTTCTTGTCCTTGATTTCTGGTGCTAGTTTAAATTCAGTCACCACATTAGCCTTTCTAATCTGCTCCCTACAATTGTTGTATAGCCCTCCTTGGGGACTGTCCCAAGCTCCCATTGTCCGTACTCCTCTTTCTTCTTTTTTTCAAAAGGACTGTGATTTTCCTATTAAGCAAAGAGGGCTTACAAGCCCTTCTGCTACCTTTCCTCCGCATGTGAGTGGTCTTCTTTGGTGCTTCAAGGGTTGTATCCTTAAGGAACAACCACTCTTCAGGCACTCCTTTCACCTTCGGTCCCTGCTTCCACAGCGCTTCCCCTACTATTGCCCTGAACCTGTTGAAATTCACTTTTTTGAAGTCCAAAACTTCAATCCTGCTAGTTGGTTTGCCTGCCTTGTGATGGACAGTGAATGTGATGGTTTCGTGGTCGCTCTTGCCCAGATTACCCTCTATATTCAAGTTGCTCACCAAATCGTCTCTTTTGGCAAAGACCAAGTCTAGATTCATAGATGTTAGGGTTGGAAGGGACCTCAAGAGATCATCGAGTCCGACCCCCTGCATAGGCAGGAAAGAGGGCTGGGTCTAGATGACCCCAGCTAGATGCATATCCAACCTCCTCTTGAAGACCCCCCGGGTAGGGGAGAGCACCCCCTCCCTTGGGAGCCCGTTCCAGACCTTGGCCACTCGAACTGTGAAGAAGTTCTTCCTAATGTCCAGTCTAAATCTGCTCTCTGCTAGCTTGTGGCCATTATTTCTTGGAACCCCCGGGGGCGCCTTGGTGAGTAAATCCTCACCAATTCCCTTCTGTGCCCCCGTGATGAACTTCAGCCCTCTAGGAGAGGGTTACCTCTGGTTGGCCTGCACACGTTCTGAGTCAGGTAGACTCTTCAATACAGGTGAAGAAGCAACGTGACCGACCCGACATGGCCAAGTGTTCCTCCCGAGAGATGTCTGGATAATTGAAGTCACCTATGATGACCACGTCCTGGGTGCACACGGCTCTGCCAGTTCTCGAGAGATCTCCAGATCAAGCTCCACCCTCCGTTTTGGTGGTCTGTAGTACACACCTACAGTTAGGTCTCTCTCGCCGCACCCCCATAGTTTGACCCAGAGGGTTTCAAGTCACTCATCTTTGGAGCCGATGTTGGCCTCCAAGGGAGGTGTGCTGCTCCCTCACATAGAGAGCTACACCTCTTCCTTACTCGGTCCCTTCTGTGCAGGGCGTAGCCCTCCATGGCTCCGTTCCAACCATGTGAGGAGTCCCACCCGGTCTCCGTAATCCCTACTAGATCATAATATCCACTGGAGAGTAGGAGGGCTAGCTCCTCCTGCTTGTTCCCCACACTTCTGGCATTACTGTACAGGCACCTGAGTCCTCAATTTCCTGTCATGCTGAAGGGGAGCCATTCCCTCAGCTCTTGCAAGAGTGGCTCTCCAAGCGTCCCAGCTTCAGAGCTTTCTTGTATGCCAATCCCCAGGCACGCTCCAGTCAGTGTTTCCCCGTCCCCCTGCGATCTTAGTTTAAAGCCCTATCTAGAAGATCAGGCATCCTGGCTGAGAACAGGGACTTACCCTCCATGTGAGGTGGATGCCATCCCTTCCCAGGGGTCCTCTCTCCCTGAAGTGTGCATTGTGGTCGAAGAAACTGAAGCCCTCTCGGTAGCACCACCGCCAGAGTCGATGGTTCACTTCTTCAATGCATCTTCCCCTCCTAGTCCCATGGCCCGCAACTGGGAGCACAGAGGAAAAGACTACCTTCACCCCCGACCCCTTGAACCCAGCCCCCAGAGCTCTACAGTCACTCATGACCCGGTCCAGATTACTCCTGGCCATGTCATTCATGCCCACATGGATGAGGAGCGTGGGGTAGTGGTCGGAGGGCCAGACAAGCCTAGAGATCCTCTCCACAACATCCCAGATGTGGACCCCAGGGAGGCAGCAGACCTCATGGGCTACGGGGTCCCTCAGTGCCCCGCAAGAAGGAGTCCCCCACCACCACCACCTTGCATCTCTTGAGGGTGGCAGCTCTCTGTCTACACTCCTCCTCCATTGTAGTGTCCTTATGCATGGTGAGGGGAGCGTACCTGTTGTTCAGGGCCAGGGGAGGAGCAGCCCTAGCCCTGGATGTCCTGGAGCCTGAGACAACTGCTTTCCAGGTAGCTCCAGGTGGGTCTTTTCAGCCAGCCTCCTTGTTGGCCACCTTCTCTATCTTCTAGTTGGGACTTAGTGATGAGGTCACAAAAAGTGATAAAAAGGGTCACCCCATCTTGGAGAGGAGAGACATTTTTGGTATGCTGAAACAAGCAAAAGGCCTCCAGCACTCCTTCAGTCTCTGGTTGAACGTGTAAGTAACTTACCTGAAATTTAGCTAGTAATTTAGGATCAAAAGGGCCAACAAGCCCACTCTGTTTTGCTCAAGTAGGTTTTCTTTCAATTGTCCATTGATTTGTATTCCTTCCTCACTCTCCCTCTTTGATCAATAAAGCTATCTGTTATACCACGCCTTGCTGTTAATGCTTATGAGGGTGAGGCTAGCCTTTAAAGCCCCTTTGCTCGGCTGGCTAAGGCGTGCATGGCTTTTTACTTTCCTCCTGTACAGAAGACTACCTGTGAATGCCTCAGGTTAAAAGAAGCACCCCAAAATACCATGGTGGGCTAAGCACCCCAAGGTCAACAGGGTCTGTGTACCCCAGGTGGCACAGAGCCCTAGCAAAGGCCAGGGCCTGGGTGGTGGCAACGGTTACACCAGGCTTGTGGGTGTGCTCCAGGAAGGGGGTCGGCCAGACATAGGCACCCCATGAGGGGCACCCAAAGCGTGGCTTTTGGTCAGGCGTAGTGAGGTGGGTGGCTCACAGGAGTGTCCCCTACTGCCCCAACACAGAGCCCATCCCCGGAGACGCCTCCACCCCACGGCTGCTCTGTTCTCCCCAGGGCTCTTCCCTCCATCCCCCAGGGCTATTTCAAATGGGGCGAGTATCTGCACATAGGTGTTGCTGGCCTCCATTTTTGCTAGCAGCTCAGAGGTTTTGGCCCCTACCTGCCACATTTTGTGTGACTTGATCCTGGGACCTGCCTGAGCAGATCCCGCTCTCGCCTGTGTGGTTCCCAGAGCCTTGCCTCCGAGCTGAACCTGCCTATTTCTATCAACCTTCCTTCGTCCGACTTGTCTCCCTCCTTGTATAATGCTAGCACCCACGTCTAGCCCATCTCTGCCTTCTCCATGCCCATCTTCAGCAAGATGTACGCAGCAGTCCTAGTGCTCAACAGCATGGAGAAGAGTGGCTCACACCTCTGTTCTGGCTGATGCGACTCTCAACCGCTGGGTCTTTTTCACTGCTGCATCCCCTGGCTCGCTCGTGTGGCCTCTGGGGTCATCCAGAATCCTAAGTCAGACATAGGGTTTGTTCCCTGCAAGACCCCACATGCGACCCCTGCCATTCTCACAAGGATAGGTGTGTAGTAACCCTTTGCTTGTCCTTATTCAACATCATATCTACCCGCTTGGCATCAACTATCTCCAGCCCCATTTCTCCAGTTTGCTTATTACAAGGTCCAGTTGGGGGACCTACTTCTCAGGGCAGTTGTGGTGGTCAGCCTGGACATCTAACACACAGCACGTGAGACACGCAGTGATGTCAGGGCAGAGGCACCTTCCCAGAGCAGAAGGAGCCAGGTCCCACTGGACCCAGTGCAGAAAACAGCACAGGAACCAGAGGGTGAAGGAAAAGGTCAAATGGGTTCAAATTAAAATGAGGTGCCATGCCAGGGTAAGCGATTAGCTACAGGAAGGAACTGTCCCAGGTGGATGATTTTCCAACCCCAATAAATTGAAAAACCTGACTTGATCAATCTCTGGCAGGCATGCATTAGGTGTGCACATGCTAGAATCATAGAAAACTAGGTTTGCGAAGGACCTTGCGAGGGCATCTAGTCCAAACCCCTGCTCCAAGCAGGACCATCCCCAACTGGATCATCCCAGCCAAGGCTTTGTCTAGCCAAATCTTCAAAGTCTCCAAGGATGGAGAGTCCACCACCTCTCTGGAGAGCCTTTTCCAGTGATTTACTACCCTCCTAGTGAGAAAGTTGCTCCACCTCAGCATGAGCAACCCCCAACATACCTACAGGCTCGGCAGCACCAAACTGACCAGCACCACGAATGAAAGGGACCTGGGGGTAATAATAGACCAGTCTGAATGTGAGCCGACGCTGTAGGCGGCAGGGCAAACAATACTCTGGCGTGCATCAATCGATGCATCTCCAGCAAAACCCAGGTGACTCATCTGCTCTACTCAGCACTGGTGAGACCGCAGCTGCAGGACTGCGTCCAGGTCTGGGCACTGCACTTCAACAAGGACACGGACCAGCTTGAGAGAGTCCAGAGAAGAGCCACCCGCATGATCAGTCTTACACAACAGGCCATACGAGGAAAGGCTGAGGGATCTGGGACTCTTCAGCCTGGAGAAAAGGCTGAGAGGGGACGTGGTGGCAGCTTACCGCTACACTAGGGGAGTGCATCAAGGGCTCGGTGAGCAACTCTTCACCAGGGCACCTGAGGGGGAAACCAGGAGTAATGGCCACAAACTCCTGGAAGACTGATTCAGTCTCAACATTAGGAAAAACTTCTACACAATGAGGGTGTCCAGGCTGTGGGATAAGCTCCCTGCAGAGGTGGTGCAATCGCCGACCCTGGAAATCTTCAAGAGACTGGACAGTCACCTTGCTGGGGTCAGCGGACCCCCAGTTACCTTTCCTATGTGGTGCAGGGGGCTGGACCCGATGATCTACAAAGTCCTTTCCAGCCTTACAATCTATGAAAGTTTTTCCTGATATATAACTTCAGTAGGGCTCAATACAGGATGGGGAAGGTGATGGGGGCTGCAGCATCAGGGGTCAGAGCAGATGGGACAAAGCTAAACACTAGGATGGCCAAAGACCAGCTCCGGTCACCCTGTGGGAGCAGAGGTCCCGCAGAAGGCTCAGGTTTGAATTCTCGAGCCAGGCAGCTGCAGCAGCACCACGGCTCCTTTCTGAAAGAAACCTCTGCTGGGGAACGCAGACCTCCAGGACACAGGACAGGAGCATTTCTTCCCGAGCAACACATCTGAGTGATGCAAAACATGCCCACACGACTTCTTCCCTCCCAAGTGTGAGAGTGACCAAGCGCTCGTTTGCAAACGCACCTGGATCAGACCAGACCCCTGAATACTCAGATCCCTGCTACCCATGACACAGGTTTCATTCCCACTGCATTTCACCGACTGCATGTGCAGTGCCTGAGAAATCCTACAGGAAAACACTGGCAGCCAAAAATGCAAAGGGACATGGAAACACAGCATAATGCTAGAGTGCCATAAGGCAGAAACCCACGTCCTGACCTTCCTCTTGACACCATTTAATGAGCCAGAAGCCGCTATGACCTCAGAAATCATAGTTAAGCAAACTGGAGCCTTTGACCTCACTGCATCAAGTCTCAGCAAGGCAAGTTTATGTCAGAGATTAGGAAAAGCTTTCTTACTAGGAGGGTAGTAAAGCACTGGGGAGTCTCCATCCTTGGAGGTGTTGAAGACCAGGGTGGACAAAGCCTTGGCCGAGATGATGCAGTTGGGGCTGGTCCTGCTTGGAGCAGGGGGTTGCACTGGATGTGACCTCCGGACGTCCCTTCAACCCTCGCTGTCCGTGACTCCATGAAACTCGGTGGCCTCTTGCACCAGGAGTCAGAGCAGCGGGGACAAAGCTGAACAGCAGGATGGGAAATCCTGACCCTAACCCCGTCCCAGTCCCCTGCGAGCTCCTCACCTGGATTAAAGCGTGCAGCTCCGGTCGCCCTGTGTGAGAAGACGTCCGGCAGAAGGAGGGAGGCTCTGCAGTGGGTGACGGCGATGCAGGAGCACGTCCATCTGCCTCCTGAGCGTGGGGAGGAGACGTGAGGCGGGGTGGGCGAGAGGGCTGGAATTAGGACAGGAACGCAGAGGTCGCACGCCTGTCGCCGACTCTCGCAAGAGAAGAGCCCGTGCACGTGCCAGGGTGCATCTGCACACCGCCAGGTTTGACCCAGCAAATAGAGACACGTCTCAATGCCACACGGGACTGATACGGGGACTTTGTAGTCACGCAGGATCACCGGGGATGGGAGCACGTGAGCACAGGGCCACGGAGACCACGATCCCCCAGGGC